CTGAAAAAATTTGTTTACTTACAATTAATATTATTTTGTTAATTAAACATAGAAATATTTAAATTAAATATAACATTAAATCTTACAAAACGTATATTTGACTTGAATATTAACATATGTTCAATTAACAAAATATTAATTTAATTGACCGGTTTAGTCAACTTGCAATTTTCTACGGTGAGACGCGAATCTACTCGGCGTAATGGTGTCTAAAGGGCGTCGATATTTATCACCGCACGACGAACGGACTGACAGACTTGGCAAGAAAAAGGGAAAAGCTAAATTGGTCGCCTAATTTGTCGTTCGTGACGGGACTTCGACAATCTCTACCGCGGCCGAGAAATCGCCGACGCTCGAGGAAATCGAGCGAGCGAGTCGACAATTTTTGCCGCGCTGTTCTCGGAGTGTTATCTCCTTCGCCGGACTGCCACTTTCGTTTCGCTCGTATATACACAGACACGTCGTCGTCAAATACTTTGAACGTGCTTCTTGATTTTCCTTAAGTGCGCATTTAATCGTCTGGCCATTTGTTCACGTTTTGATTTTCTAGTAAAAATTTCATACTTTCTATAATCAACAATCTTTCTGAAATAATATTTTTTTAATGTTTGTTATTCTATCTCATCAAAACTCTTTAATGATTTAAACACAAAAGTTAAAAGTATATATATAGGGATATTCAAACAAACATTAACGATGGTACGCAGTAAATAAATTCGAAGGATAATTTTTATGCACCCTATGTACATCGTCGACTCCTTGAAATATATTTCATCCTGTTCCGTCTCTCGAACGTGTATCGCTCGCCGGAAGTCATTGTTTCTCGCTTAAGTGTCTTTTCGAATCCTCGTCGTTACCGGAAGCTCGGCATAAAAAGTCATTCGTGGTCGACGCGATGACTCCGACCTCCGGTGCATATATAAGAAAGCAATCTCTGTCCGGGAACGCGTTTATGTCGACTCTGTCCTGGATCGGTTGTAATGGTTTTGACTCTTCGGACGAGCCTTCATTGTTGAACGATGAATAACCGCGTTCTCTGAATCATACCCTTCTTGGGTTGAAGAAAGGGAGGGAGGGCAAGACGGAAAGCGCCGAAAAATTTTTGCAATGTCGGCCGCGTATAATGTGCGGACCGTTGAGGCCTCGAAAAACAATGGCATTTGCATCATAAGTAAAACGCGACGCCTGACCCGAATCTAGATTTCTGTCGTCTTCCGCGTGTTTCTCTTAACAAGCGAGCGAACTTCTGCAAATTAGTGCACCAGAATTGCCTGAAGCGAGACGAAGAGATGAGAAAGAAAGAGAGAGGAAAAGACTCAAGCCAGGTCGCTCGCGTTAATATTCATCATATGCGGCGGTCACGACGATTCACCATCTTTTGGCGATCTTGCCTTTGGCTCTGCTTTACGCTTCGGCCTTCGAACGACCTGACTCTCCTTTATTTGAACGCGTTTCGATCGACAAATGTGGAATTCGAACGCCATTCGAAAAACCAAGACGATTCACGAAACAGGGACGCATTGGCAGAATTCTCTTGATTATCGTTTAATTAACCGCGTCACATTTTTAGACCGAAACAATCAAAGCTGTTGACGCTTAGATTGCAGCATTGAGATTTATTCTGTACAGTATTGGCGACCATTGCTGGCTTGATTATCGCGTAATCTTGATTATCGTTTAATTAACCGCGTCACATTTTTAGACCGAAACAATCAAAGCTGTTGACGCTTAGATTTATTTTACTATTCACAATTGCAGTTTTCTTCTAATTTTATTGAGATTTATTCTGTACAGTATTGGCGACAAACATTTTTATTTCCACCATTGCAAAAAGAATTGGCTTCGTGCGAGATTATCGCGTAATCTTGATTATCGTTTAATTAACCGCGTCACATTTTTAGACCGAAACAATCAAAGCTGTTGACGCTTAGATTTATTTTACTATTCACAATTGCAGTTTTCTTCTAATTTTATTGAGATTTATTTTGTACAGTATTGGCGACAAACATTTTTATTTCCACCATTGCAAAAAGAATTGGCTTCGGGCGAGATTATCGCGTAATCGATCCGCTCCTGCTTCGCGTTCAAGGTAACATCATATTTTCGGTCTTTCGTGTGTTTGCGAACGTTTGCGCGCGTGCTGCTCCGCTCGGTACCAAAAATGGAAGAGAGGAAAAAATCCGGAGCGTGAGCAAAAGGGGCCACACACGGTTGTCGTCGCCGTCGCGCACGCGAAGAAGGTAGAAAAGAGAGAGAAGAGAAAGCACAGAGGAACTCGCGCCCCTCTCTCGATGTTACGCGGAGAATTCGAGGGACAGTCGTTAGTATGCTAATGAGTGTTCCTCGTTTCTCCGTCCGTGGCCGCCGTGTGTGTGCACGGCCGCTAAATTATTTCAAATATTTCCAAACGCCCGTCGAAGGGAGAAGGTGGAGATATCGGCCTCTCGAGGTTAGAGATCATGGAACTTGGTACTATGCACCCGCGGTGCTCGCCCCATGTCGTGTGCGAGAAAAATTGGTCGCTCGAGCAAGAACCTTTTAATTCTCCTCGCTATACTTTTGTGCCCTTTTCCCTCCCTCTTTTTTCTCTCTCGCTCGCCCTTTTTGATATCAGGGTTTCGATGACACTATTATATATCTCGCGATAACATCGAAACTTCGTGAGAGCGGCGATCCTTCCCGCTGCTATATAGTTGTACAACTTCACGACGTGACGTATGCGATACACGATGGTGATATTAATTTTCCGGGTGGTATCGTGTTTCGTACTATTAAATCAGTCATCCGCGTTCATTAATTAAAGGTGCGAGGCGTGAAACGTCGATTAATTTCACTTACGCGCGAGTGATAATTATATTGATAACCAATCATATTGGAAAAGATGTAGTCGACGATAAAAATTATACACAATTTTATCGCGCCCGAAGATTCATGATTAATCATATGTGTTTGTGGATAAAAGTTTTTTTTATCTCTATAGTACAAATTAACTTGTTTAATTCTTATACCATTTTCGTAATCTTGTAAGAGTGGCTCGATGCATTTTGAAGAAATTCAATTAAAACACGTTTCTTTTTGTTGTCTTAAATCTTTATAGTTTCCCGACTCATTCTAATTTAAAGAGAAGAAAGTCTAACTCTGACTTCAAGCATTATCTGCTTTTAAGTCTTCAGAGAAAAGTTTTTTTATCTATAGTACAAATTAACTTGTTTAATTCTTATACCATTTTAGCAATCTTGTAAGAGTGGCTCGATGCATTTTGAAGAAATTCAATAAAAACACGTTTCTTTTTGTTGTCTTATATCTTTATAGTTTCCCGACTCATTCTAATTTAAAGAGAAGAAAGTCTAACTCTGACTTCAAGCATTATCTGCTTTTAAGTCTTCAGAGAAGCGAACGCGAGATAAGAACCCGTTCCCCATTATTGTCTTAATGAAGCTCAATTATTATCAGATAGGTCACTTATGTTAGTATGCCTGTCGATATTTTACGGGATAAGTAATGTTCATTAATGAGAGGACAAGAGCAAGAGTCAATACCTTTGGGAGATTTAAACGCGGTTTAATGAGACTCGATCACCGTCGTCGATACACATATATATATCCTGCTCGCTTGCATACTAGACTAGAGGCGTACGCATGGATTCAACAGGTGGTTGCGCATGTGCGCCGGAATCCACCTGTTGAATGCCACCTGTTGAATCCACCTGTTGAATGTTATTCGCGACTGTAACGTGACTAATCGCGAGAGCGAACCGCGATCGACACAATATCCCCGCTTTTCTTCATTATTTTCCGCACTAATTCCAAGAAAGATTTATTTATTGATTTTTTGTCCCAAATTTCTTTCAACCGTTATAATATATTTAATGCAAATCGCGCCAAAGTAATAGAATAAAAGAAAAATTCGAAAGAAATGTATAACTTTTTACTTTGCGATCCTAGCTATAAAGTAGCAACGTGTATAGCGGCCCGTTATACATATTTTGGGATAATGTTATCATTCTCTCGAGTTACGTTGTTATTTCCGGAATACTCGCAACCCGGGCATCCTCGTCGAACGAGGACGATCCGAGATAATCGATTGGTCGCGCTCGAGTCTCTCGTCCACTTATGGATTCGAGCCGGGCAGGAGATTTTTCTCTTTTTTTTCTCTTTGCCTCTCGGTTTGCCTCTCGCGTGCGCTCACCTTTTCCATATATCAGACTTTCTCACCTCTTTCGTTGACCGTGATTACTACGGAGGATCTCTACCATCGGAACCTTTTCGTTTTCGCATTTGTCACGGCTTATTAAATTGCTTCTTCTTTAAACTAGAGTGCGAAACGCATCGCATACGCCGACTCATCGCCGGCGTATCGACTTTTACGACTTTGCAAAATCCTCGCAGCAGGTTAATATCGGGTAGAAACTACTTCCGTTTATTTCTTGTCAAAGATTGTTTTTTTTTCTCAATGAGAACTTGCTGATAAATCGCTGTCTTATTTTGTTTCTTTTTCTTTTTTCACTACTTACATCAAAACTGCGCATATGTGATTTTATTAAAAGACAATATATCTCTTTCCTTTTGAATTTGTACGTAGTATAACTCGAATAATATTTTTCAGTTAATATAAATTAATAGAATACTATTTGCATTGAAAAGAAGATATAATTTTCGATTCTTATTAATTTTATTATTTATAGGGAGTGAACTCTAATGTGAACTATGATATAATCTGAATCGTGTATGCAAAGTTGTGATAATTCCGCGAAATAAAGACTGGCTTATTTATCGCTTACTTGAAAACGTGGCGGAACTGCGACTTTGTAATAACATTTGCGCTGCTCTTTATAAGTAGAATTTGCATCACAAATGTTACATAACGCACACAACACGAATAGAACGAGAGACATCGTCGTGCGAATTGTCAGCGTCATGTCACAAAGTCCGTGAAATCTAACCCGGATTTTATCATGTAATCTTATTATATATATTGACAACTCTGTCATCGTTTCTTACCTTGCAACCCTCGCACGTGAATGCTCCAAAATGAAAACCAGCTGCAGGCTCCTTGCATACCTTGCACTTATGGTTCATCTGCAATTATAGAAATTATAAAAATTATTCAAAGAAGAAATACGTCAGAGAGTTAGTTGCTTCGACTCATCCTTGGATGAATAAAGCGCGATTGGTGTTGAATAGTGGGGCGGCGAACCGGTTCTCTCTACGTTCGTTTCGATTTTTATTCCTCCCACAATATCTTACAGATATGTTAAACCAGGATTTAGAGTATGAGAGAAAAACTAATTGGAAATATAGAACTTATACGCGAGTACGTTGACAATGCACAATAAAGATCTGTCAAGAATATCTCTCGCTTTTTTTTTATTTTTTTATGAAGTCTTTTGTAGCTTTGCATTACAAAGTCTATATAATATTTGTAATATCGCGATGATGAGAGTTTTTTCGTGTATGTATTCTTTGGTGGACACGGAGTTTTTGAGTAGAGGACGATTAAATCTTTTCCCATGAGCATGAAATGGATATCCGAAGAATCATTAGGTTCTTTTCTTTCCCGAATCTATGTTCTTTATTCTGTCGTAATACTTGGATCGAAACTCGTTTTAACCTACCGGCGTGTCATAAATCAGTGCTATCTCGACAAACGGTGCCATCTGCCTCGACTTAGTGTCGGAGCGAGAAACCTATTTTTCGAATAAACTGAATAAAAGTAGACCATATATTGATGATCCGATAAGAAAATTATAATCAACGATGTTTCTCATCATTCTCGAGTTCTTTGATTATCTACGATGCGATATAAAAATTTTCAATTTAAAATTTATACAATAAAAATTTGAAGGCCCATAAATATTGAATATAACTTAGAATTTGAAAAGCTTAAAAGCTCTATGCGAGCTTTTTAATTTTGATCATTTCCTCGAATTGAGATTATTTTCTGAATAAGTCTTGGTAATGTATCAAGCGAAATTCGTGCCCTGCGCACAATTATTTAATTCCAACGAAAAAATTAATTTTCTTTTAAATTCTAAATTAAAATTTATTCGGTGAAATAAGAACCACTTTCAAAAGAATAAGTTTTTTTATGAGTTGTAATTTTATAAGATTCTATACCGCGCGTAACGCTGAAAAAAGATTGATAGTTACAATAAAATAATTAAGCTTAATCTCGAAATCACGATGCATTTTTTTAAGTAATGAAAATAAAAATTCAAATTTACTGCAAAATGTTCACGTGGAGAGAGATGGGAAGGAGAAGAATATTTAAATAAAAATTCAAAATAGATTACTACAGACGGATAATAAATTGAAACAAAAATGAATTAAACCAAATGAGATTTCACATTTTCTCGTGACGTTGATTGTTAACTCATTTTTCATTAATTTCATTACGCTTTATTTTAAAAAGTAAGATCAGTACCTCTCGATTTCTTTGTCTTTCATTCGTTCTTCTAGGCAGCATTTCGTTGTTCTCGTTCGGCAAAGTCATCAGATCAAATAATGGATCAAAGTTAGTGATTTCAACGTGTGCACCAGTTTCCACAAGTGTAGTTCTGAAAAAAAAAAATGTAAAAAAATTTCAGAATTTTTCAATTATTTAAATATTTATAATGTATTATCCTCCACAATATTATACAGAAATTATTTATTTATTTAGAGATTATTATACAGAGAATATAGAAATTTCTTAACATGTGTGCACAAAACTAAATTATTGTCTTGGTATATAAAAAAATGTTTGAAATTATCTTTTTTTTCTTATAAATAAACTGAATTGAAGTGATTTATTTATGTGAGAAAATAAAAGTAATCGAATCCTTTATTGTTAGAAAATAAATATGCTAAAATATTTTCTTACAATGGACATAACCAAACGATGCGGTCGAGCGAGACTTGAGTGAAACGTGCAAATGCGTGGAAATGTCTCTTCCTTTTTATCTTATCTAGATCGTTTAAAAAGGTACATTTAACGGTACGCACGCAAATTACCCGTTACTTTTCTAATCTAAATCGATGCTCTTTGTTTGCTCAGTGCGATAACTTGAATTACACCGATCTACACTTGGTACCGCTTCCGTTAAGATGACGACGTGCTTACGAAAAGCGACCGCGTTGAGTGGACGATTGAATCGTCTTATCGCGTGAAACTCGTTGCAGACGAGAGCGAAAGATAATCGCGAGTATACATTCTCTCGAGTACAACGTTTATGCAGGTGATACAGTTGCTTGAAGCTGTGAGAACTTGTCACGAGAGATTTCTTTGCAAGTGATTATTTCCATATTAAACAAACTACAATTGTGTAATGTGTATCATGTTGGTCAAATGATGAAATAGCTATTTCATAAAATTATTGATGTGTGTTACATTACTTAAATTGTGCATTTGTATTAAGTTAATATCGAGAATTTTGGAAATTTCTTCATAACAAGATCACATATTACATTTTAAATGTCGCTTTCGTAACATTCGTATTTAAATCACGGTTTACGCGCGGTCGCATTATGACATACACAAATAAAATATCGGTATGTGGATATATATATATATATATATGTATACACACATATGCATAAAAATCTTCCGGTACTCTTTGCGATATTGCAGACGTCGTTACAGAGGACCGTGCCTTCGGTCTTTTATGAGATTATAAATCAATGAGGGCGCGCTTAATCGCCAAATAAAGGGAGATTAAATTGCGCCAGCGAGGCATACCGGTCTCGTGTGTCTTAGAATATAAACGAATGACGAATATAAATCTGAAGCTTTTATTTGAAGGGACGTATCATTATAATACGTGGTTATTTAACGAGTTCCATTCAATGTTTGAAAAGAAATGAATTGTTCATTTAAACTAGATTATTGCATGTTAGGTATTGTTGAGTAAGAAATTGTTTCTTTTCTATCATTTCTGTAACGGAGGTCACGTGGGAATGTCTTACTCACAGAAAATTTCTGCATTAGTGAATTATTATATACGTGACAGTTTAACCGGCCATGAACAATACGCAAGATAAATTGTTTAATAGATTGCAAAGCGAATATAAATCACAGTCTAGTTTTAGTTGTGACCTCACAAAAGAATCTTTTAAAGCGTATGTTTTGTTTGAAATATTTTCATTTATTAGCCCTTTTCCAATTCGTTCTTCTTCATTTATTTCTTTTCCTTTCGCATCCTTTATTTTTCATCCTTTATTCTGTTACTATTCATCCTACTGTTTATTTTACTTGATTATATTTTTCTTTTTTTCTTTGTTACTCTGTAATTTACTAAATGCTACATAACATTACGTAATATATTTGTATATGTATAAATATTTTTGTTTTATGCATTGTCTAGTGTTATGTGTGGTATGTATTATATATATATTTTTTTATTGTCCGAGTTGAGCATTATATAACATCTTAGAGCTTCAGCTTTCGCAATTTTACTCAACTTTACTATATACTAATGTTTTCTCTCTTTCTCTCTCGGTCTTTGCCATATCTTATATTGCATGCAACAAAATTATCAGTTTTTTATTTTCTATAAAAAAAGGGGAAATTCTTGATCTTGAGTATTGGTTTTTAAATTTTATGAAAATGTATTTATAAGCAAGTTCTTTTCTTCCCTATTTTCTGTTCAACAAAATTAAAGTAATTGAATCATGCGATAACTGCTATTCTTATTAAATCGACCAGTGACTTTATTCATCGAATTCGTGACAATGTTACGTTTGACACTTTAAAACATGCCATTCGCGAAACATATCTTATGGAGGCAGCTGACTCTAACACTCTAGTCTAATACTCTAAAATGCTGATGCGACGCGTTATTGTACGCATGCATTCAGATGCACTAGGACATAACACGGGCATAACGAATCGTGGTACTTCCGAAAGGAGCACCCATCGCGATTCCCACAAGTGCGAGAGGGTCGCGCGGGATTGTTCTCGATTGACTCTTGAGTGGCGGACGCAGAATCGCTGTTAAAAATCGGATCGGTCACGGTTCGAGGAGACAGACAATGTCGTCGTCGTCGTCATCTACGACGTGGCTACCTGCGTTGCCGCGTTTATATGCTCCACCATACGCCGCGCCGGTAGGACGTGCTCGCTCGTTTCTTTAACGCGAGGCTAAACTGTCGCGATAAATGATCCTCTAGAAGGTTATTAATTGTCTTTGGCTCCCGGCCGGGCGCATTGTAGATCGCGAAAACATTAACCGAAAAGAAACTCCGCTTTCTGCCTTGCCATATGTTCGATGTACGAACAGTATATACAGAGTGTGATGAAAAATCGCGTATACTATCAAATAGAGATTCTTTGAAAAAACCCGAGATAAAAAATTTCCGTTCCGTGTCATCGGTTCTCTCTATTTTTTAATCAGTATCTTTTAATCAAATTAAATCTTTAAAATAAAAAAAATTTACTATTAGATTAATTTTTTTATTTGTGCTGCTAAAATTAAATTGGCTAAAAATATTTATATAATTTTAAATTTAATTTGTCTTTAAAATCAGGATTATTCACGTTCTAATGTTACGATAATTATCTATTCTTTTCGTTTTTTGCATATTTTTCTTTTTATAAAAATATACTGCATTATTTTTTTATATATACACCCTGTATACTAGATGCACCGCTATATCTATATACTCCCGCTAAGATATGTGTGCGCGTCGATGCACAGGATCATTTTTCAAGGATTCGATCGACGTGTCCGTGAATGAGCGACCACCATCCATCAAACTGATCGTTAAAAACGCATCGACGCCAATACAAATTGCGGCAGCCGCATGTTACATTCTTGCTTCGTTTCTGGGTCTTTTCCGGGATTCTTTCGAATGATTGAATCAACTATTTCGTAATATCTAATCTACATCTTAATTTTGATCATATTTATCAAATAACAAGTGAACCGAAACGCATAGAAGGGGATACATATTTTAATGTTAGTGTAAAAAAGATTGAATTATCATTTTTATATTTATATCACAAATAATGACGATTAATTTTATTTAAGTTAAAAGAATTAATTATTTTTAATAAATTTACGATTTATAAGGTATTTTATTGATTGATTAATAAGACTATTTTTATAAAATTTTGTAAAATCATTGCTTAGGAATTTTTCATCTCTAATTTATGTTATCATCGAAAAACAAAACATGTCAGCAATGTGTTCAACGAGAAAACTAATTGTTTGCGCCCAAGTTTTCCGCTATTACATTCGCACTTCACCATAAGATTTCTATGTTTCGCGTTCGCGCGTGCAAAATCCTGTTTACTTTATGTAATCCGGTAATAGTCGATTATATACGGCGTATGCATTCATTTGCGCGTAATCCTTTCGCGCATAATTAAGCACCGATAACATCGAGACGAGGAACTTTCGTGCACAAACGTCCGCGCGCGCGTGTTCAAATGCGTATCCCGGTTGATATATCGACTCCTTCTTTCGAGTAGATTCATTGACTCATTAACGCAACGAGAAAAATCGCCGGCTGTATATCACGGCCCGGACAGTAATCAAGTGCTCATTCTTAGCGCAGAGTGTAATAAATATGTGAATTAATACACCGTCGATTAATTATATCGCGCAAACCGCGTTTCTAATGTGTACTCTCGTTGCCGAGAAGAATTATAACGACGAACGCGACTGCGAACGTTGCGGAAAAATGATTAACCCTGTTTGCGCAAAACGCTCCGTAAGATGATGAGATTCCTTATAACGGTCGACATCGCGTATTGAAATTTAGCACCTTTAAACATAAACGATCTCCATATATTATCTCCGCGGGTGAATATATGTATATTCGAAGTGTATGTTCCAAAGGTCTATTTTTTCCAAATCGTGAATCCTAGAAATCAAATACGAAGAAACGCATACACTATTATTTCATACTTGACGCTATGATGATGTCACTAATCTTATTTAATCTTACATCTCGTTTTATCAAACGAATGATTTTTCTTCCTCCGACAACTATTGCAAGCAATCGAGATGCTTTCGTAATCTTTTTTTATTTTTCTTAGATATATATTCTCGCATATACGTACTCGTAAAACCTATATGAATATCGTATGTATTTTTTATCAATAGTTATTGCTATTCATATTCTAATGCAAGAACTTTGAATTATGTAGATTAGTTCGACAGAAAATTTTTCAGAAAATTATGTGTTACAATATGAAAACACATTACATCTTCAAAGAAATTTGAAACAATTCGCTTATGTTTTAAAATTAATTTTAAATTTTATATATCAATGCACTTTATCATTAAATCTCGAATATGTTATATAAAAATAGATTTACATCTGTTTTTCTTTTTTCTTTTTTTTTGAGTGAAAACGTACAAATATTTTTGTGTGTTTTTGCTGTCAAGTGTAACGTACATAAAAGAGAAAGAATCCCGTCGTCGATTATGAAAACGATTACGAAGATGATGATCGAGCGGCGAGTGCGAAGTCGGCAAGGGTTGAGATGACGGTAGCAAAGGGTAAAGACGACAAAGGAAGCGCTGCCGGCACTCGGATAGTGAAAAAGGCCTCATAAAAGGATAAACGTCACACGGGACTTGTGTTTAATGGCGCGTAAACTGCTACGTGCCCCTGTACGTAGGTATATGTGCACGCACACAAAAACACACACACTGTTGTTGCGATGACATGCAGCAGAACCCGAAAGGGTTCTGACTTTTCTGACCCTTCCGATCTCGTCGTTGTCATCGTCATCGTCGTCGTCGTCGTCGGTCGAGACCTCGTAAGCTGATATTTAGAGCAGAGACACCGCAGAGTCGATCGACTTCATTAACGCGCCGGGTAAATATTGACTCTATAGAAACTGGGGTACGAGGCACCGTGTATTTACACTGTGCGTACACACGCGAGACTTTTCTCTCCAGTGACCCTCCTTTTCTCTTTCTGACTCTTCCCTCATTTCATCCGTTTCGCGTGTACGGGGCTATGATAACTACGATCTCGAAGATGTCAATGACATCGATGATCAAATTGAGAGAAATTGCGTGTTATTTTTTCCGCGATGATTCTTACATCCATATATATTGAACGATATCTATTCTGATAATGTGCGAATTTATATGCGAGACGATTTCTCGCCAGAGATATTTCGAAGTCGGCGCGATGTCGCATGCAAGGATCAATTCGTCGCGACGATATAAAAGAACCTTGGCCCACATCGACGTGCGGATACCCTCGATAAAAGTTGCATCGCGATCTTTTTGTAAAATCGATAGACTCTGCCGCGTAAATGGTAACAGTTAAGTAGCAAAGACTCGACATGTGTGCTCTCCGTGATTTATTGCAAATGCACGCCGCTTCTCGGAGGTGTTGTTCGGTTTCTCTTCCTCTCGGTTATTAGGACGATGCAATTTTTTGCGCCGTTCTCGCGTCGTTTTTGCTCCATCTTCAACGCTTACACCTCGAGCTTACGCTCTCGCACTTATTGTTTTCTACATTTCGCGATTTATTTCGAGCCGTAGCTGCGTCTGTCCGTTTAAGAGCACGCGCAATCCGGTTGCTCCGTTATACGTACATATATACTCTGCTGCTTTATTTGGTTTTGTATTAGGTCTTCTTGCCCGAACTCTTAGACTCACTTAGAACGACCGAGTCTTGGACTCTCAGGTGTGTTAGAAATACTAGAAAATAATCTTTCTCTCTCGACCGAGATCTGTATTGACGTTGAATATTTCAAGAATTCTTAACGTGTATTACAGAAATATGTATGTAAATATATAACGTAGGAATTCTTTATCGAGTATTTCATTTTATGCCTTACCGCCGCGGTTAGGTCAGGGTCTTGGGCTCCATTCGGAATGGGACAAAAAAGATAATACGCGTATTTGTCACGATTCTTGGTACTTCCCGCATGACTGTTGTAAAGGGTAGCAATGTAGTGGCAGCAAAAAGGCGTTAAGTCAGATCACGACCCCGTGACGAGACGACGAGCCGAAAAGGGTTAATATGTAAATAAGACGCGACACAACGTTTAGATTTTGCGTCGCCCGTTGCACTAAGATACCATGCAAATCTAATATTTGTATATCACTAGATCAAGGATGATGCGAGGAAATGTTTCAGCAATTACGTATTTGTAATGTAAATATAAAAAAATGTGAATACGCATAATTTGGTATAAAAAAATAATACATATAGTTTTACTATTTTTTTACACTTTTTTAAAGAGAAATCTTGTGACCGATTACTGTATATTGCATTGAGTTTTAGTTTAAAAAAAAATTAATAATTTTGTCATTAAAATAATCAAAATCTGAGTATTATATAAAATTAATAAAATAAAATTCTCAGAATTTTCATGATTTAAAGGAACACCAGTCTTTAGTTAAATCAATCTCAACCTATGCAATATGTATAGTTTAACTCGTCAGTTTTTATCTTATTTATAAATTCGTTCGTGTTGTGATTTATTTAATGAGAAAATTTATATTGTTTTTTTTTTTTTAACTTTCTTAAATTCAGCTGACCGAAATGAAAATACATCCTTGAGCACACGCAACTCGTTACGTGGATGTACGCGAACACGTGCGTGCGTGATGAATCGGTACGTGAGGAACAAGAATACTAGAAAGATCGAAGACGAAGAAGAGAGAAGATACACACATCTCTCTCTTTCTGTCACTTTGTCTTTTTTCTCGGACCTCTCGCGGGCATAGAGCTTGCCGGGTATACAAGTGGGTAATAACCGTATGAAAGGGTAACAAAGGTGGCCGACACACCGCGGTCGATGTAGAAAAAGAGCACCAAGGGCCAAGGATATAGGGCGCGCGCGGGCAGGGGAAGAGCAATAAATATATTTTGACATGGGAGAGCCTTGCCGACGTTCTTATGTATAATAATTGTAATGGCTGTCTCTGTTGCGCTCTTACGGTATAAGGACACGGGCGTAGCGTCATCCTTGGACCCTTTGTGTTACCGAATTACTGTACCGACTACCAGTAGGCAAATATTATAGCAACAGGCGGAGATGAGGGGGAAACGATAATGTTTTCATTTGATGATGGCTAACCGCACGTGAGATCGCACGTTGAAGAGAGAGCTCCGTCATCTACCCCTTCTTCTTTAGCGGTCAGGAAAGCATAAAAGCCATAAAAATTTTTTCGAGATCAAAGGATACGCGACAACAATGCGATGACCAATGTGGATCATGGATACGTTTAATTGCAATTTTCAATTTTTATACGAATATATAAGAGCAAATTCTCTCTGTGTAGTTAAAAAAAATTTTAAGAGAAATAATTCATATTTTTTCTTTTAAATTTCATTATATTCATTTCATTTTGGGTATAAAAATGAATATAATACAGTGTAATTAAAAAAGAATAAAGTTTATACTGTATTTTTAATTTAATTATATGTTTCGTTTCAAAGAAAAATTAAATGTCTGTTGACAATAATTTAAAAATCAATTATCAGTTATCACACACACACACACACAGGACTATCTCTTTAAAAAAAATTATATTTTTTAAATACATATTTTGAGCAAGTTTGTTATTAATCTTAATATTTTATTTAAATTATTTAAAGATAAAAGGGATATAACAATTTCTTTACTATGAATAAATAATCTTTAACTGTGAAAGTAATAAATAGATGTTGCAAAATGTATGTCGCAAAAAAGAAACGATTAAACAATCATTCTATCTTGTAATCGTTTATACCGTAATATATACAAAGCGAAATTATATTATTAATCTAAAAATTTTAATATTCTGACAATAAGTGCAAATTTATCATAATTTTTTAAATGCTCGCAAACCAATAGCGATATTTCACACCGTGTTAATAATACATTTATCTTGATTTGCTTACTAAAAATATTACATTTAACTACAATGACAACTAACAAATAGTAACGGATGTTATTAATACGGTATGAAATATTTTTGTAGACACACTGTCAAATGGATGAAATAGAAGGTCACTCACCTCAAGTAAATTTGTATCCGCTGTCAACCCGTCCGGTTTTTCTGTTTCACTCAAGCCGACAAAAATCTATTTCCGACAAAGATTAACTGAGTTCTATTCTGAGTTAACACGTTACATTTATCTTATGCTATTTTTTGGAAAATGTTCGTTCTCTGTCTAGAATTTTGGACCACGCACCCCTTCAATTATTTAACATTGAAATCCGAAGAGAATCTTCTCCTATCTTCTCGGCTTTTCTAAATTTCGTTCTGTTGTACAACACTACCGGTAATTTTCGTCGCTTTGATTCAATATCGCCGAAATATACGACGCCGGACAGTAACACTGATTGATCGAATTCACGCACCTTCTCGTCCAATTTGATCTATTTTATTCTGTTGGGCTTTTTTTGCTCTTTTCTCCCTTTTTCTCTTCTGATTGCCCGGCTATTTCTTCGCGATTTTTTGCTTCACCTCTGCATCTAGATGCTCGTGACTGCTTTGTATACACTCTGTCTCTTTCTCTCTTCTCCCCCTCTCTTTCTATCTCTCTCATATGCGCACATGTGACGGTGCGACTACGGCGATGGACGAGAAAGGACTGGAGCCGTACGATTCTGAGACCTGTTTGAGTCGAAGCGCCCAAGGAGAACCCGTACTCTGTACCAAAGGAAAGGATTATCATCTGTGTAGTGAGCCATCTGGGGAGCTGTTCTTCACCTATCGGTTCACTCCTGTGAATGGGCCCGCCAACGGACCCAGACACAGACCGATCGACCGACCAATCGGTGTGCATTTCTGATACCTAGGGTATATAAGTGCCACCCATCAGTCCCCACTTGTAACCAGGTCCACCACTCTTGAAAGCTCTTGTCAGCCACAAATACTACCACTTTGTTAGTTTATTCGCTGACCGTTGAACCCTTATGTTATACAAAACATTAATATATGCAGAGCAGCGAAGATGTACCAAGTTTGCTATTTGAATTTTCTATTTTTTTTTTTATTTTTTATTTATTTCCCTCTTTTCGTCTTTTTTATAATGTGAACTAAATAGGTTTTAAATATTATAAAATTAAGCGTTAAAATACGAGATTTGCTACGTTATTTTATATGAACACAAAATTTGTTATTTTACTAATTATCATTTATAATGAAACATCTTCATTGATCTTATTCATTCAGATATCTTGACTTAATTATCGGAAAAACCGTCTCGAATTCTGTGACGGTGTCTTTTTCATACACTAATAAATAATTTCTTATTATTCTTACGTCATACGAACGTTTAAATTACGCTGATGGATTTTCCATATAACGAGTTTTTTCCTGGTTAAAGATTTTTCAATATTTTCTAATGTAAACATCCCTTGCATCCAGTTCTTTCAATCTCTGTTCATTAGCATCTCGTCCACTCGTTAACTGGATGCAAGGATCTTGGTGTTTTCCACCATTTCATTTCGATGTTTAATGTTGCAATGAACAAGCGAACCCTTTTCTAGAAAAGAAAAGCACAAATTCTATTTCTGAATATTTTAATGGTTTTGTTAATATTTTTTAATACTCCCAGCAGGATCACCCTATTTTCACTGAATAGAACTACTTTTATTCATTAATCTTTGAAGTAGCCACTGTCAAATATTTTTGTTTCATATTGCATACATATGCGATACACATGACACACACTATATTTACACAATAAATTTCATCATAAAGTGGTATGTGACGTTGTACAAGTTTTATTTTAATCAAAACAGACTTTGTTAAGACTTTTAGTTCTAATATGATTTTAAATACTCTAAAATATAACTTTAACTGCGCAAATTTCTCCAAATTGTGATATAATGGATCAATTTGGAAACTGAAAGTCAGTATCTTTACGGAAAGCAAAATATTTTTCTATTTAGAAGAAAAATATTCTTTTGTTAAATTATGTTACAAGTCGTACTAAGATTTTCGAGGATTTCAATTTTTAAGGGAGAACTGTTAGGATGGACTTTCTGTGGGAAAACTGTTGTTATTTTATAAAAGATTAATGAATAAAAGTAGTTCTATACACATAAAAACTAGTAGTATACACATAAAAAATTATACTGATAATTAAGTAAAACTTTAAGAAATTTTTGCATGGTGTAATAATCATTCTTTTTATAAAGGCGTGTTCCCTTAAAGTTTTATTGATCGCCATAAGGTGAAGATGCTTTCTGCGAAAGAAACTCCTGTAAATTCGATGTATGGCAACAAGAGAGGCACGGCAGACACGTTCAGATTCGTGATCAATTGGCCGCGTATAATCCGGATGTATCTACGCGTTCGGCCATCCGTTCTTTTTTTTTTGTCTGTCACAGTCTCGTCCTACTATGCAAGCTCGCTCATGCAGAAGACTTTTTGGAGAGGGCAGATGGGACTAATATAGACTCGATTCTGCTCCCGAAGATATGAACTCATTCTTTCGAAGGTGTCGGGGCTGCCCATCGACATGGAAACAAATAAGATTTATCGTTCCGTACATGTTGCTCTGATCGCCCTGTGTTAGGAAAAAAAACATAATCGCTTTGATATCGTATACGGATATATTCACAAGCAAAATTAAACTAGGAAAAGGAGCGCGAAATGTGATGCGTCAGTCTATTCGGTTTGTTATTTACACAAGCTGTGTGTGGACATAAAATTTACACAAAATGTAAAATATATATACATATATGACGAATTGTATCAGTTTAAATTAATTGCTTATACAGCTGAATTTAATTAGAAGACATATGTAGAAAAAAAGCATAAAGATTATATTTGCATATATTTATTTTTCATTTACAAACGACATTAATATCTCACATTTTTTCTGATCTAATTTATGCACTAAAGCGGTAACTTAAAACTTTATTATGAAATGAATTTTAGGACGAAATTTTACCTTAACATCTCTTTGAAACTTAAAGGGATTATAAAACATAGCTTCCCACACACACACACACACACACACCTGAAACGTACATCTTCCAGATCGGCGTACTTGTCTTTTCTCGCTTTGTATAAGAGGACACAAAGTAGATTTGAGATATCACGCGAGTGCGACTCCTAGTGAGATCGTACGCCGACGGAGGTTGACTTTCAGCGGCTCTCGAGATCGAAGATTCGCCTACGCGTCTCTCTTTCCGCGGGAGGATCCTCGGTGAAGCGAACACGCGTACGAAATTTTGTTTCCTCTTTCTCGCGCTTCTCTCGCTCGAAATAATTCTTCGATCTCGACCTTCGCGAAATCGATACGCCACCTTACGCAGTCTTACAACTGTGCATCCTTCTCCATATCCTTCGGAAATGCAAATAAAATCCTTTCAATAACGTCTTAAATATTGTGAATTGATTTCAGATTTCGATGCAAGTGCAATGAATAGAGTGTGAAAGTATAAAATATCGATGTATATGTATAGTTATAAATATTATAAATATCATATAATGGGGGAGGGCATGTATAAAATTACTGTGTTAAGTGATATCTTGATATCGTAATGCATAGATAAGTTATCAACTAAACACTTGTATTAAAATGCTAATAAGCTCTATGTATATCTCGTTATCTCATATTTTTCTAAGATTTCATAAAAATTAATAATCATTGAGTATTATAAACTAGCCATCAATCGATAATTTAATTGCTCGTATGTCTGGAGTTTCCGCGAAATATTACTTGGTAATCTTGCACTATTGATCTTTTGAGCTATAAGTTATAGTGCGAAACAAAAGATGATTAGTTTGATTTTTTTTTCATACTGTTGTAGAGAAAAAATCTTGTATCATTATCAATTATGATAGTTCCGTGACTGCAAATAGATTTTTTTTCTAATTGTTTCAGTGCAATGTTGCAATTTTGTGCTCTTGCGAAATGCCGAGAAAAGATCGTAAAAAAAACTTGCAACGTATATTTGTCTGCATATTTCATGCTTTCAGTAGAAAATGGCAGATGTAATAATTTGCGGAAAAATTGAGGGAAAATTTAGAAAGGTGAATGTGGTTGATTCATAATCGGAAATGTAGTTTGCGAGATCCTCGATAGTTTTCACGGGGCGCGCACGATCACCTCGGCTGTGTCCCTTTGACCTCGCGCACTGTAGGATGAGATTTCTTCGTTCGGCGAAGCCGACTGCGTTTAATAATTTTCTCGCGATAATCAATTACAGCAACGACGATTCGCACGCCGTCGCGTCGCTCGCTCGCTCGTTCGTTCGACTAGCCGCAACATAGAGAAACGTCTGACTCGCTCATTCTTACGACATTCCGCGTGTTTTCGATTAATGGGACCAAGCGTGCCGCTTAGCAATCGGCGCTTTTCAACGCCTCGTTTGCCGTCGCGTTCCTGAAATCTCTCACGGATGTCGCGCCATTTTTTCGCTACATCGAATGCCAAGCGAACTTTATAATTTAATTTCTCAGACTAACGTACATCATCTTATGATCCAGGCTTGTAAAAAAAAAAAAAAAAAATTTATGCATTTCTCTCCATCAGAAAAGCAACCCTACATTTTATTTCGAGAAATCTGACCTTACAGACAAATGCGCTTTTGTAAAATTGTAAATTTCACTCTTTTCATCTATTTTATTGTGCGAAATTATCTTAAATCTTAAAGAAAGTGTACAATCAGGTAGAAAATGTATATAAAGAAATCAATTTTAAAAAAGTGTCCGAACGCGATGGTGTTACGACCATTCGTCGTTTTGTGGCAATTGTGTGATGCCTTTTTGTAATGGCGGGGTTCTTTAGATGTGCATGACGCTATTATTCTGAATTTATAGGATGGGTTTAGAATGGTTAATAAAATAAAGGCTTTTCTTAAAAAATGTGCGTGCTAACTTTTGTACGATTCATTCTCCTTTCTCTATAACCTTGTAACATTTTGAGCCTCCGAAAGTTTTGAATCCACAATTTGAAACAAAATTTAATACACGTTTTTCAAGAGCCTTTATTTTTTTCGTCTAAATCTAGAAACTCGTTACGAACGTCAAACACAGTCTCATACATGCCACCATAAAACGTAAACTAAAAGCGATAATGTCATGCACATGGGGTGCGAGAGTTGAAGAATCTCACTACATAAGACCACAAGGCAAATGGTTCCCACGCATTTTTGGGATGTTTTTTTTAAAGTTTAATTTTTTATTATAGAAAAGCCCTCGTATTCAACATTTTAATAGATCATTAAGAAATAACTGTACTATGTAGCTGTAGGAAGCATAATCAAATGGCAAAATAAATAATTGATTTCATCACCGATTCCTGTATATCGAATGAAGCGTGATTGATTATCATTTGCGTCAGAAATATGACGTGCTTACGTTTTTATATTTTCTATGACGTTTGTTGTTTGTACATATTTAACAAATCGAGAAAGACAGCCACGCTGTATTAAATATTAATTATATAACTGTTCAAAGAGGAAAATATAATATTCAATTTTTTCCGACAGATTAAATATTGTCGATGATATTTTATGCATTTTTCTATTTCAAGAATAGCTTCTTATTAGAACACAAATGTCCCTAAAATATAACGAATAAAAAAATTAATGATATTCAATTTTAAACAGAAAATTACTACTTGATTATTTGCGAAATCTGCGGAGAAATGCCATTGCGCAAAACGATCTAAATATATAATATTCAGTGACAGTTTTTTTTTATTTGATCGTTACGCGAGAATTATTGCGGAATCGCGGCTGTAACTCCTCTACTCTAATTTATTTGCGAGGATTCGCTTTATGTCTGATTGCGAAT